CTCAGTGGAATGTAGATTCAGAGTTGTCCTAGTTACCTTTGGTTTTAAGCTCTGCATCGCATCACCTAGAGTCGTCTAGAGTCGTTATTCTGTTGAGGGATTGTCTAGATCACATTGGCCTATGCGTGAGCGTGGGGTAATTGTTTTTATTGACAACTGACACAGGAGGACCCAGCCCACTCTTGTGGGTTGTAGAAAAAATCTAGCAAAGGATGATCTAGCAAGTAAGTTAGGAAGCAGCACCCACAGTGGCTTTCCTGTACTCCTTGGCAGAATGAATTCCTTGACTTTGGTAACACTACATTGTATAGCACTGAGCCCTGCCTCCAGATTCCTGTCCTGAGTTCCTAAGTTCCTGCCTTGACTTGCCTCAGTGATGGCCTGCCCCCTGGACGTTTGAGCCAAATAAATTCTTTCCTTCCCATTGCTTTTGGTCAATTCTGTTAGTTTGTGTCAGTCAAATGGGTTCTAATGCAAAAATCCTGTGGAGTAATTCTATGGAGGAAAGGCCAAGCTGTATGCAATTTTTACCTGGAGATTCTCACAGTTGTATCTGTTGACTTTTGAGTCATCCCTGTCATAATTATTATTCTTAATTATCTATTATTTTACTAGTATCAGCAGTGTCTGCACTAGCTTGTCTCCATCCTCTCTTGTCATCAAAACATCCTCAGTGGCTCCTTCCCTGGGTGCCTGTTCTAACTTGTTGGTTTGTTCCAGTTGAGTTGAATGCTGATCTTAACTGCCATTCACAAGAGCAGGGCACTTACTGTAGAGGTATCAGCTGCACACTACATGCCTCGCAGTGCTCTGTATCCAGCTAATGACTTTCTCTGCATTAACAAGCCGTGAAAAAAAAAAAACATTTAAAATGTATGCAGCAAGCTGGGAGATCAGTGAAGTGTTTGCCTTACAAGGAGAGTACCTAAGCCTGATCCCCAGAACCTACATTTAAAAAAAAAAATAGAGAGGATAGTGTTTGCTTGTAATCTCAGTGGCAGTAAGGACAGATTTATGAAACTAGCTCACTGGCCATTTAGAGAATCTACCCAGCAAATTCCAGGCTGAGAAGAGACTCGGTCTCTGAGAGAAAGAGTGATGTAGGCAGTACCACCTGAGGAGTCACGAAGGATAATAGCAAAGGTTACCACCTAATATCCACCCAAATGCTCACAAGGTGCCCCAGGCTCCTACACACACATATATACGCCTCCCCAAACACAAACTCACAAATACATAATCTCTACATCTTAAATTCCAAATCCAGTCAATGTTTGTACAAATGTTCTCATCTGTAACCAATCACTCACTTGCAAGTTTAACTACCTTTTTAAAAAATAATGCAGTAAATGTGTGTAATGAGTCCTTCTTTGGTATTTTCAGTTTTGAGTTTTAACTGTTTTGACTAGAATTTAACATATTTATTGACATCTGTGGGATGTCTCCCATGAGGCTTGGAAAGATACGGTCTAACATAATTAGACTTAATTAGTATTTGTGTGGTTAATTCTTCCCTTTTGAAACTCTGTCTCTGATGCTCTGGGGACTCCGCTTGAAGCAGGACTATCCCCACAGCTCCTTGTCACCGTTGTCACCTCTTTTCAGTTTTGAGAGGCATCACTCTCTTCTAAAGAGGAGAGAATGTGCGTGGCTCTTATTGTTGGCTTGGCCACACCCTGATTGTGCCCTACCTGTTTTGTCACCTTGTCATAACAAACATCTGCCTCCACTTCAGTTGCCTATAGTCTACCTCCCTATCTGTGCAATCATGTTTTTCCTGTATATACCCTGTACCTTCAGAGAAGCTTATAAGTCACTTTCTGTTCCTGTGATAAAAACGTGTAACCTAGAATGATCTAAGGAAGAAAGCCAGTTTGGGCTTATCGTTCCAGAGGGAAAGTCTATGATGATGGAGGTAGCTTGACAGCTTGCAGTCAGAGCAGGAGGCCGAGAGGTCACATCTTCACCCACACAAGGAAAGCAGAGAGAGTAAATTGGAAGTGAGGTGAGGCTCACACTCTCAAAGCCTGTCCCCATTGGTGTACTTCCTCCAACAAGGTGCCACCTTCTAAAGGTTCCAGAACCTCACCCAATCAGTGCCATCAATGGAGGACATCCCGTTTGAGTACCTGGGCCTAGGAGGGACATTCCTCATTTAAATCTGTTGGTGTTATGGTCCCAACAGATTAGAGAACTGCAGACAGAGAGGCAAGATCCTGACTGGGTGAGCTACTCCTGGCAAAACTTTGTGGTTTCCATTCCCAGTGAGGTTATGTCATCCTGGGATGAGCCAGAGCTACTCTGTATGAAGGACTGAGCTAGAGGCAAAATATGGTGGGAATCATATGGTCTCAAACTTTGAAATCACTGACTGTTGGATTAGATAGTCTCAGGGAGTAACTAGTGGGCCATTCATACTGGCTAATATGCAAAGGATACTCAGTAAAACCGTAGGCTGGAGGAAACCAGATGTTTCAGAATTATGGGCAATAACATATTTCCATCTAAACTACATTATACCTATGGATGTATACATATACATCTGTGTGTGTATGGATGAATATACATACATACACATACATGTGTGTGTATTATATCCATGGCTGTTTCTATCTGTATGCATGAATATATATACATATATATAATATATATAGCTACCATTATATCTACATATGCTATATCATATGTAGACAGTGTATATGTGTGTGTGTATGTATAAAATACATTCTACTAGTTTAAGACATTTTAAATACACAGTTCTTGGCATGAAATATGTTCACACTCTAAATCATCTGTAATCATCTGTAATCCATTTTTTTAATGTTTCTATCTTACTCATTCAAGCTTCCAAACCCTTAGCAACAACACCAGCCTCCTCCCTGCCCACAGCACCACACAGCTTCTGTTATTCTTGTGAATTGAACTTCTTTTCTTTGGCAAGTTCACTGTGTCCTTAGATGAAAGCTCAGCCTCTAGTGAGCAGAGTTCAGTGGGTTTTGCTAATTATTTTTCTTTATGGTTTAACTCTTTTTGCCCACCCATCTTTGTGTAGCAAGAGCATTGATCATTAAGGACCATTGGGGCACCATACTGTGGCACCATACTGTGGGCTCTTCTTGCTTAGGCAGCATAAACATGCGTTTCCATGGCTCTCCAGATCAGGAGTGTGGGAGTCAGCAGATGTGTTTTTCACTGAGGCTACATCTCCATGGCCGTTGATGGCAGTCTTCCTGACTCTCCCCATAGGCGTCAGTGTGTGAACGTGGCCTCACGTGCACCCTGTGTCCAACTGTACCTAATGTATTAGGATTTAACTGAAGCAACACTTCATATTACTTATCTACAAATACAGCTGGACCTTGAAGGACTAGGGTTTGTGGTTTCAATCCCTAGTTGGGTGGGCTTCATTGAGCCTCTATGTGGATATGGGATCCACTTATGATTAAATCAACCTATTCAAGGAGGACACCAGCTTTAATATCTGATTTCTGTTCTTCTTTCCTCCATTTTTCTCTTAATTTCTGTTTAGTTTTTGTTATTTTATGCTGACAAGGTTTAATTCACTTCTTATATGAATATTCTAGCTATTTCCTTTGTAGTTACCTAAGAATTACATACAACACTCCAAACTATGCAATCAGTACCAATTTAGAATTACTTATATACAAAATTTTGCTTCTTACAGTTCAAACCCTGAAAGCAAGTCATTGATTTCACAAATTGTATCTTTATATATTAATATCCAACAATATAAATTTATAATTATTCCATGTATTGTCTTTTACATAGTATAGAAAATAAAAAGTGAAGTTACAAATCAAAATAACGATTCTACTTTTCATCAATATTTATATGTACACACATAAATATGTGTGTCTATTTTTTTCAGTTATATTTTTCTATGTGTTTACTTTTAAGGGCAAATTCATTTTCAATGGTTTGAAGTCATATCTAAGGTCCTTTCATTTCAACTCAGAAAGAATCTGTTTAAAATGAACTACTTTGCCTCTGGTTTGTCTGAAAATACCTGAAATTCTGTCTCTTTATTGGGGGATAGATTCACAGTGTAGCAGTTCTTGCCCCCTGGCTGTTTCTGTGTGTGCTTCTCAAATGCTCTACCAAGAAGGGATCCTGCATTTGCACTGTCTTCCCCTGGGCTTTGTCTATACATTCTTTTTGCTTCTGCTCTGCGCTGCAGTCATGGATGACACCAAAGCCCAGGCTTGGTGACATCCAGAGGACAGAACATATGGGCTCTGCTCTCTCACAGGGATCTCTCTCAGAAGCACTCCCATGGGCGTGCCACAACATCTCACTAAGCTGAATTGCATCACGAGCCCTTCGTTAAACACATTTCTGATAAAGAAAAAAGAAATATCCATGGTTGGATGAAACAGTTAATGTAGGGTGCGGTGGATGTCAGAGTGCCATCCACTCCATCCAGTGGCACAGGATCCTTACAGACTATTCTGTGGTGTTGGAAACCCAGCAGGAGGCTTGGGAAGCTCACAGAGGAAACTACAGCTAGGCAAAGGGGATCACTCCATGTCGGTTCAATGTAAAGTATGTTTAACATTTAAACTTGTATCACTTTTGTTAGACTACATGTTCGTATAGATCTTGATCATTTTCAGCTGCACTGTTATCCATGGGAAGTAGACAAAGCTCTCTTCTTCATAGGCACAGGCCTTTTCCCTAGTCCTATAAACTGGACCAATACAAGAGCAATCGTTGAAAGCAAATGAGCTTCTAATTAAACTTTCACCTCTTCAACAGGAAAAAAAGAACTAAACCAAAGGATGTCACCATCTTTTTGTGGGCAAAGTTGCCTTTGATTTTCAAGAGCAAAGATTCACTTTAATGCAGCTGAGCCGGCTTCAGTACAAGAGAATACACGTTGAGTCATGATCCTTGAAGCTCTGACTTGTGTCTTGCATACATTTCCTGAGTGTTTCCTAGATTGCTGCGCGACCTGCTGACAACCCTTCTCTCTGTTGTAGTGACCCAGGGAGGCGTGTCTCTGGTCTCTGACATGTGTCCAGATCCTGGAATTCCAGACAACGGCAGAAGAGCAGGTTCTGACTTCAGGTAGGAAACAAAATCATGGCTTGGGAAATGAGTTATCTTGTAACACATGCCTGGCCTGTCATTTTATCTCAGTCGTCCTATTGACGGGAAGACATAACTTGTCATTGATTAAGAATCTGCAGTATTTGCAGAACTCTAGATATAATATGGTGATAATTTCTATAATTTCCAGGTACTTTGATGTTAATAATATAAACGGAGTGAGGCTAAAATTTTGACTCACAAAGTTTACGAAAAAACTTGTCTTCGTATACGTATATACCTATACATATATATTTCAAAAATATATATAATGTGTGTCACTTGATAGTCTAATGTTTAAAAGTAAAGACCACAAAAACTATTGTAGCCTCATGATTATCACCTCAAATACGCGTTTAGGGTAACAAACACTACTGTCCCTCAGCCATTTACTCCAAGATGCTGCCCAGCATTTTAGGACTAAGATGAACTGGAGATCCCTCTCCAGTCACTGGACCATGAAGCAGCTGTGATTACAAGTGCTCCAGGGCTTTGCATTTCTTCCTGTCTCTTAGAAACCTAACGTTTGTCACCTTATGCGAAGGGCCGGTAAACAAGAATAATCTGAAGAAAATCAAGAGTGAAGGACACAGGAAAGGAGTTCCTTCCTATAATCTGCCCATTTGTTTGAGAGACAGACAGAATTAAGCCTACTAACACAGGCTGAAAGCTATGTTAGCCACGCGGAGGGAAGTCAATGGATGTTGGGTAGGCCTGCCCCAGCAACTGTGCCATTAAAGGGGATGGGGAACAGGATGCTCGTCTCTGGGATGACTGCCACAAAGGTGATCGTATCACTGGAATTTCTGGCACTAGCAGCACAGTGTTGTAGACTGGGTGAGTTCCTAGTCTGGGAAATCTAAGGTCAAAGAGCCACATCTCATGAAGCCCCAAAGTAGGGCAGGCTGTTGAAGGTGAAATTGGGAGCCTTATTAAATGAGGATGTCTAGCCCTCTTACCCCCACCTTCCCTCTCATCTCTTCCTCTAACCCTCTTTCCCTAGGAAGCCATTTAGATCCCATCCCTGGTCTCCACCCTATGATTCACCTAACATAAACCACCTTCCAGTGACATTGAGTTCTCAGAGCTTAAGGAGCTACCGTGGAAGCTCAGGATATTCAGGGAGGCACGGATAATTGAGGCCTACCTTGTGAAGCTTCAGAGGGAAGCAAAGACTCTGTCAGGGCTGTTCATGTGCTGTTTTGTGTTAACAATCTGTGGAGGGGAAACCTGTGCTTCACTGGGGCTATAGGCACTTGTCAGCAGAGGCAGAAGAATCATCTGTGAATAGTAAGATACCAGCATCATTAGGGCAAAGGCTTCTCACAAGTATTTCACTGTCAGTAGAAAGAAGCTGTGGTCCAGAGGGGCATGAGGCAGCAATTTGGTAGATAATATTCCCCATATGGTACTCGTTTAAAGGCAGAAAGAGGTCATAGTGTGTAGCTGGGACTTGTCATTATGTGGCAGGGTCAGGGTCGCTCTCAGTAGAGGCCAGGATGGCCACTGATAAAGGTGCCATTTCAATAGAGACCCCCCAACAAAGGAGAGATGTCTGAGTCATGAGGCAACCCCAAAGATAAAGTTTAGAGTGGAGTCAACCTGAGCTTGCACAACAAGCTCTGTCTGTTGTGGAAGGCAGAGATGGAGAGCAACAAGCTGACCCAGGCTTTCTGGAGCCCAGATGACCATCATTGAGTCCCAGATGCTTCACATTGGGCCCTATATACTGTTGGGTTCAATTTTGTTTGATCAGACTGTAATTATGACCCAGTTCTTATGTTTTAGACAAAGGAAGTATGTAAATTAATATCATTATCATAATTACTTACAGAAGGGACATATTTAAGAGACTTTGGATTTTTAAAGAGACATTGACCTTTAAAGTGTTCAGATTTCAAAGTTGGACTGTTTTGTATTGTAATATTAATTGCCGAACATGGGGCAGCAGGAAGCCAGTATGTATGCTAGGGCAGCCAGAGAAGGAAGACAGAATCTGCTTTTAGAAGACACCACGCTCTTCTGTTTAAGTGTGTTAGCTCCCCCAGGTCTCTGGGTTGTCCAGGCATTTCTCCAAGCATGCAACAACCAAGACTATAGCCACTTGGAAATGGCTGGAAAGGAAATATAAAGAGGGTTTTGATTTAATTTGAGCTTTCATAGGACTTTATTGTTAGACGATTCTTCAAGGAGAAAAGATGAAACATTTGTTTTCCAATTGTGTTTTGTTTGCCTTGCCTGAATGAGCAGCCTGGAACCTTATTACAAGGTTCATTGGAAATGGGTACTATAAGTGGCTTCTTTATTCTCAAGCCGAGGATGAGGGAATTCTGATTTTGGTCCTGAGTAAGATTTTAGCTCTCTGTTTTCCATGGTGACCTTTATTGGGTCAAGGATGTAGTGATCTATTTTGTATTTGTTTGGATTTTTTTAAACACATGGATATAAGATTCAGTGAAAACTCTTTTCTTTAGCTACAGAGATAATCTTGGCTTACCTACCTAAATTGTTAGTAGAATGTCTATCAATCTCAGATTCAATGATGAAATTACTATGGTCAAGACTATCCTGTCTTCTTTTGGTCTGTGGAGGGAAAGGGTCTCGCACATGCCAGACAAGCATCTTGTAGGTGGTGGCACCACCTGTCATTATTTTGCTTCCGTACCATTAGATTTCACTTGCCAGAAGTTTACAGGTATCTTACATATGGTCTCATGATGTATAATCTTATAACGACTTCGTCTGGTTTCATCGTCAAAGCAATGCTTATCTTTAAAAAAATGGAAAATCCTTCTGAAGCACAATTAATAAAAGCTCCAGAGTCAGAAATTGGTGTTCAACCTGAAGATCTGAAAAGCAAAGCAGCCAGCCACTGGCTCTTACCTTGACCTCAGTCCGAAATGGCAATTTTGCTTCCAGGAATCTCAGAATGAGACTGTGTTTTGAGAGCTGTTTCCTCCTGTCTTATATTCCTCTCTAGGGCTGGGATTAAAAGTATGCACCATCTGATTTCTATGGCAACTAAAGGTGTGCGTTATTGTGGTTCCTGGGATTAATGGCTGCCATAACTGGTCTATTGACCAGTGGGACTGTTACTCTTAGATCTTCAGGCAATCTTTATTTTACTAGAATAAAATTGAAATGCCACTGCATCTTTCCTCTAGAATATTCAGAACAGTTTCCGCACAGTTGGTAATGGCTTCTGCTTAAATGCTGACACGATTTACTGATGAAGCCACCAGGAGAAGGGTTTTCTCATGAAAAGTCTTCAGTTACTGACTCAAAAATCTCCTTTATTTGCACATGAAGTAACTTCTTTTGTTACTTGAATATAGTTCAAATCTTTCAGAGGATTTTATTTTCCTTCAAGTTGGCAAACTTACCAACACAAAACTTTCCATGGGGCTTTCTACACATTTACCTTAAATTTTTATAATGTGTCTGATTAGCATTTCTTTAAGTAATCTTATTTGTAATTAGCATATTACATACTGGACTTCATTGTTGGGTTTTCAGTCATATTCCATTTTGTGCTGAGTCTCCTGTCTTTCTCTTTATCTACTTCAATTTTGCACCTTCCTCTCATACGAATTATGTTGTCTTGTTGCAGGCGTTATGTTACTATCATTCTTCCTGGACACCTCTTTTTCTCCCTTTGTGGTCCCCTTTCTAATATTACAACCACACACACACACACACACACACACACACACACACACACACACAAGAGAACATGCAGATTTTTCCTTCTGAGTCTGGGTTATCTACACCATATTTAAAACTTTGGACTTACTCATATTTTATCTTACATGTATGAACATTTTGATTGCATGTATGTATTTCAGAAAAACAGGGTCAGATCCCTGGGGACTGGAGTCACAGATGGGTGTAAGTGACCATGTGGATGCTGGGAGCTGGAAACCCATGAGCTCTGCAAGAGCAACTGGTGCTCTTACCGCAGAGCCATCTCTCCAGCCCCTGCACCACATTTACATTCATCTGTTCTTTGGGGAACAGGTACCTGGGCTGATCCCATTTCTGAATCTTTTAAATCAATAGTGACGTCACAGCTCAGTTTCCTTGTACTCACATTTTCTGTGTTCATTGATTTGACGAGTGGCGTTATTGATCCTCTTAAGATGACAACTCCTTTTGCTGAGTTTTCTCTTTCTTTAGCTGCAGTTCTGTAGATTGGGCCAGCATGTGTTCATTGAATCTTCTTATTTGTTTGTCCCCACGCTTGGAACCATGGGCTCTGACTGTTGTTTTCTTGTCTCATTCATTTCTTAGAGTTGAGAAGGCCAATAACCTAAGGTCCTTCTTCTTCACCCTTCCCTACTATGGTTCTTTATGCTGCCCGACATAGTGTGTATGTAACTTTCCCTCTGGAGCATGTGCGACAGCCAAACACTCATTGGCACACATTTGTAAATTTATTGATACCACTTTATTGCTGAGAATATATGAGTTTCTATTAAGCATTTCTTCCAAGTTACCTTGAAAAGAATGTATTAAGAATGTATTTTTTTCCTATGAAAACATGTTGTTCCCAGTCCTAGGAGTAAAAGGGTTGTGCACTCCCACATAGCTCTGTATCACCCAGCAGCCCTACCCCCTTACTTCCAGTTTTCAGCAACCTTTCCTACTGTGAAATCACACTCATTACTACTGAAGTGTCTCATTGGAAACATCTTCAAGCCCTGGGAATCTGTCAAACTAATGGTAGTAGATAGGGCTTCAGATTTTCTCAAATTTTGTTAGACAACTTTACTTTGTCATTGGCAACAAATATAATGATTTTTTGAAGTTAAAGATACATCTTAATGAAAATTTCTCAGGGAAAGTATAATCTTATCAATCGCAGTTTGTCAGTCACCCAGATAAATAGGCACTCAATAGCGAGGCAATCAGCCATTGCCTGGGATGTCAATCATGTATGTCCTTTGTTCTTGTGACTGACATCCCTGAGATCTCAATCT